TTCAGAAGTTGAGGCCTCCATTTTAAAGTGGCCAGCATTTGTCAGAATAATCATCCAGTCCGTAGTCCTCTGCATAGAGAATAAAGCAGACCCAAAGATAGGAACAGTCAAGCACTGTTTCAGTCCAGGAGGGGCTTTCTGAGCTGTAAGGCACTTTCTCAATTAGTGGTCAATGGGGGAGGGCCCAGCCCATGGTGGGTGGTGCTATCCCTGGGCTGGTGGTCCTGGGTTCTGAGGAAGCCAGGGGAAAGCAAGCCAGTAAGCAGCACCCCTCCCAGGCCTCTGCATCAGCTCCTGCCTTCAGGTTCCTGGCCCGGCTTCCTTCAGTGGTGAACAGCAATGTGGAAGTGTAAGCTGAATAAACCCTTTCCTCCCAGTGCGCTTATTGGTTATGGTTTCATAGCAGCAATAGAAACCTCAACTAAGATGGGAATATGTAGCATTAGGGTCCTGGAAGTGACCCTAGACTATTTTCCCTTAACCTGTCTCCACTTAATCAGTATGTTCTGCAGGTTGTACACCTCAAATTCAAATCAAACTGGGAACCCCTGTGTCACCGCCACCTTCGTCCCGCAAGGAATGACGCAACCACCGGAGCTCTTCTCACTGCAGTTTATTCCAGGACTTTATTTACTTTCTCTCTCTCTTCCCCTCTCTCCCCGGGCAAACCTCTCCCAGCCCTTAAGTAGGCATGGGCTGCCAATCCCGGATTGCCAGGTGGGCATTGACTATAGGCCCACGCATATGCAGGCAGCTGATGATCATTGTGTGATCAGGCATAAGTCAGACTTTAGCCATAGGAGTTGATTATACATCTCCATCAGGTGTGGTTCCATGCAGCTAGCTACACCCCTGGAAGAGCAGAGCCTATCACATCGCTCCAGCCCATCACATGACCTTTTACCTCAGGTTGTATAACCGACTTAGTTTCTCAGAGCTCCAGATCTAAACACCAGAGACAGAAGCCACAATGAGTTAAGTCGGCCCCCTGGCCAGGCATGGCTATGGATAGTGGAGTCAGCTGGTGTAACGACAACCACCTATGTCCACTCGTTCATCAGCAACTGTGTGGAAAGGCTAGAAATCAATGGCCTCAATATTCTTGGTTACTAGACAGACAGGTAGTAAGCAAATCAGTGATACTGATAAATTGTTACCTATGTTTTTACATAGCCAATCCTCAGAGGTCTTTGGATCTCTCTTTAAAATATCTCCCTCTGTTTATGGGCGCTGGAGGGATGGCTCAGCTGTTAAGGGCACTGGCTGTTCTTCCAGAGGACCAGGGTTTGATTCCCAGCACTCACAAGGCAGTTCACCTTCCTCTGAAACTCCAGTTCCCTTTCCCCCAGAGATCCAATGCCTTCTTCTGCCTTCATGGGTGCCAGGCATGCACATGGTGTACAGACATGCAGGTAAAACACTCATATGCATAAAATAAAAATAAAGGAAAATTATAAAAAATTGAAGTATACACTCTACCCACTGATTCCTCCCCCCCCCACACACACACTATGGCCTTAGTCCTCAGCCCACTGTACCATACACAGGAAAATAAAATTGCCTCATAGTCTTCCAGATGCCACCTTTGTCCCTGTTCTAATGTTTTTAGCTGTGACTGATGTTTTGTTTTAATGACTGAGCCATCTCTCCAGCCTTGTACCCCTATTCTCTATTAGAGAAGCCTGAGCAAATCTTTTCAGATGGGATTTAAATGGTCCACTCTTCGGAGCACATCTATCTGGCTACCCAGCTCTGCACTGAGCATCACACAGCAGACTGGCTTCCCTTACAAACTTGCTATGTCAGGCTGTCTGCCTCTGCCTCCCGAGTGCTGGGATTCAAAGCATGTACCACCATTCCTGCTCCTGCTCCTTTCCATAGATGCAAAAATTTGTTTATTCATGTGTGTGTGTTTCTGTTTATTTCAAACCAAGATTCTTTTAAAACAAATGCAAGCTTACCTAGTTCGTGGTATTATATCATCAGCAGTAGAAAATGGACATTGGATGATGTTTATGTGCTGGTGTCTACTAGAGTACATGCTCTCTGCTTCAGAAATCTTTGTTTTTTTTTCCCTTATCTGTATCCATAGAATCTAGATCAGCACCCAAATCATGGTGCTCAATGGCTATTTACTGTGTATGTAAATGAATATGATGGACTAGAGAGTGAGTTTCCAGAAGGCTCTGGAACATTCTATATACAAATTGTGCTTTGAGACATGTGGAGCTAAAATAGTAGCTCAAATGGAGCAGATTTATAGATCAAATTAGCAAACTGTAAGAGTGTGCGTCTATTTAACTAGAGCCTTCGAAGAATGGAACCTGTGGAGTGAGGGAGAAAACCATTTAATGGCTAAATATTGTGCTATATGTCTATAATTCCAGGACCCGAGAAACCGAGGCAGAGAACCACAAGTCCCAGGCTGACCTGGGCTATGCTGGTGGGCTCCATCTCAGGGAGATGTAAGAGATATTTGCCTCTGACTATCTCTTTGATCTGAAGTCCACAAAATTTCTAGTACTTTTAGGTAGTAACTGACGTCTGTCACTTCAGCTTCCATTCATTAATTAAGAGACCTAATGAAGCTGGAATCTTCTGTTTGTTTGTTTGTTTTTTTGAGACAGGGCCTCACATACCTTAAGTTGGTCTTGAACTCATAATATAGCTAAGGACGGCCTTTCTGATTTCTTCCCTTTCCCTCACAAGGCTTGATAGTATAGGTGTACAAAGCCTGAATTAATGTTTATAATTCTTATATTTATTTCTTTTATTGTTTTGTATGCTCAAGTGTTTGGCCTGTATGTATGTCTATGCACTAAGTGGGTGCTGGGGATCGAACACAGGTCTTTGGCAATCTTACCACTGTGCCAGCCCCTTGAATTAATTTTTAAAGTTTCAAACTTTGCACGCTTTTCCTTGTTTGGCTCTGCCAGACTGCAGGTGGTCATGCCCAGTGGGAAACACAGTGGAGCTCAGCAGATGCTTGTGCTGACCCACTTACCTCTCCAGAGTTTGAGTAGGGCAATAGAGAGAAACGCTGAAGAAAATTCTTACCAATTCTAGGCCTCAGCAAATACCTATAGCTAGCTTTTCCTCCAGGGCCCCTTTCTGTTGCTCACAAATTTCCCTTTTCACAAATCTCACTGTGTAGCTCTGGCTGGAACTCTCCATGCAGACCTGGAACTCACAGAGATCCATCTGCCTCTGCCTCCTGAGTGCTGGTCGGAGGCCACCACATCTGGCAAGATGCAGAAAATTTGCCTCAAATTCTCCCTTCCTTTTTTATCTAATTCCAAATCCCAAGACAGCCGCACACCCCACCTTCCTTCTTCTGAGGTATTACAATTTCAGATAACTTATCTGATGAGATAAAGCCACTGTGTGTCCTTTGTGTGTGGCCTCCATGTTTTTTGGGGGTAATATTTTGTCCTGGAAATCCATGGGAGCACATAGCAGATACCACTTCCTGCTCTGCCACTGGACAGAGAGTTAATCTTTTCTTGCTTTTTAAAAGACTTTCTAGTGACAAGCAGGGTATCAATATTTTGTGTATTTGTCAGTTGTATCAACAATCTGCCCAAATATTTCCTCATATCCTCCTGAACTTGGATTCAACTGAGGCTGTAACACAAAGTCCATTAACAGTTCTCCCCAAAGAGCTGACATCCAGATTTCTGTCCATTTTCTCAAAGCAGGAAGGGCAATGACGGACTGCAAACTTGCTTGGCACACACACTCCCGAACATGGCACTCAACCCTTGGCTCTTCTTCAGAGACCAAGGCTTGGAGAGCCAAGCCAGGACACACGTAAAGAATCGAGAGAGGGCGCTGACTGCCCAGGAGCTCTGAGGATAACACTGGTCCAAACTCTACTTCTATAGAAGCCTTATGTGGGTGACCATGAGTAACCATGTGCCATAAAAAGAGGCCCCGACACCCCTAAAGAATAACCGGAAACTGCCCACAGAAGCATGAGCTTCATTTCAAAAGGAAAAGGCAAGAAAACAGTAAAAAATATTAAGCATTTGCCTTCTGTAGGATGGTGAGAGTTAAACACAAAATAAAACAGTTCCCCCAGCGAGATCATTCAGGACTAGGTGAAAAGCAGAGAGGCGAGCACATGAACTCTAGACCGACAGCTGGGGAGCCTACATGGGACCCACCTAGATCCTCTGATGTGAGTGACAGTTGTGTAGCTTGATCTGTTTGTGGGACCCTTGGCAGCAGGACCAGGACCTGACCCTGGCGCATGAGGTGGCTTTTTGGAACCTATTTCCTATGGAGGGATGCCTTGCTCAGTCTTGGTGCAGCGGGGAGGAGCTTGATCCTGCCTCAACTTGATATGCCATGGCTTTGTTGACTCCCATGGGAGACCTTACTCTTTCTGAATGGAGATGGAGGAGTGGATTGGGGGGGATAGAAGGAGGCAGGAGGAGGAAATGGAAGGAGATGAGGGAGGGAAACCGTGGTTGGCTAGAGTTGAGAACTGTCTTCTGTCGGTAGGGGATATCATGAGTTAAGATAAGATACTCAGAAAACTTATACCTAGGACTGAACTCTCGGGACATATGCTGAAGATATGTGAACAGGATAGGATTAAGTAGTTAAAAGTGTGTGGTCAGGGTTGGTGGTGGCACACACCATTAATCCCAGCACACAGGAGGCAGAGGCGAGTGGATCTCTGCGAGTTAGAGGTCAGCCTGGTCCACAAAGTGAGTTCCGGGACAGCCAGAGCTATATACAGAGAACCTGTCTTGAAAAGCCCACCTCCAAAAACTAACCAAGCAAACAAACAAACCTTGTGTGAAAATGTGTGGTCAGGCCAAGGCCAACATAGACTTTAGGGGGCAGAAAAGCAGAGCAGAGCTGAAGGAGAGGGCAGGGAATGTGGGACCCACAGGCTGTGCTTCTATTGACAACGCTGCACGATGCTATTGCTCAGATTATGTTGTTGTCACGGGGCCCCCGTAGACTACACACATCTCTCGACTCCTAAATAAGCAATTTATTTCTCCATTCATTTCTCCACAAACTTCTTGGAAACATTTTTTTTCAAGTACATACAATTTCTTCTCAAAATCATTTTATGGAAGACAAATGCTCACCAGCAATGGCTTACATCCCATGCAGAAATTAATCTTTAAATCTCCTGGGTTGTTCCCCTCCTGCTCTGAATGCCTGAATACACCTCAGTTCTTAGATCAAAGGGGTCAGAAAGGGGAAGGCAAAACTTTGCGCTGTCCTATCCAGGCAGGACCCGCCTCCCATTTCTTTCCTTTCTTCTTCTTTTCTGTTTGGTCCAGAAATTCTCCTTTGGCTTCTTCAGACTAAGTCTTCCAGCTCCCTCTTCCTTTGCTACTCAGGGCCAGCCAAACGTTCACCCTGGCACCCTGACTCTTCCAGATAAATCTGAAAACGGTGTCCGGGTGGGGATATGTTCCTGTGGGGTTCTGGGAAGGTTTATAGTTGCTCTGGGTAAGGGAGAGACAGGGCCCAAACTGAGGCCCTTAGGCCCTACCTTCTTTTCTGTTGCCCCTCTTCTCCTCTTCCACATTTGCTTGTCAGGATTACGATATGGAAGGAACGACAGGAGGCTTCAACTTGCTGTTTCTTGAAATGCTGTAACTCTGGCTGATATCTGGGGGCTGGTACCACTTTCCTTGCCTTTCCTGGGTACAGCTTTCTTGGGAATGAAGAAACTGAAGCCCTGGAGTCGCTTTATGCTGGTGTCTAAAGATCCCAATCTCTTTTTACTGAGTTGCATAAATACAAGAAAGGAAGAGCAATGGCTGACTGACTGAGATTTTCCTGAGGCGTCTGCTTTTTACAAGGCCCTCTTGCTTGTTTTGACGGCATTGGATTTCAGTGTCTTGCCAGACGTGATGAGGGCTCCAAAGCCATGCTTGTGGGAGAATGCATAGCCAGAACGTCGAAGGCTTGGGTGTTTTACTTTGGTCTTGACTGGGGGTGGCAGCGGATGTTTCAAGCAGAAATGAATCCTGTTCAAAACCTATATCCAGAGCACGGGGGACAAGGTTTTCAGAACAGAGGCCAAGACAGAGGGGATGGTGAATTTCATCTGTGCAGGGTCCCACTTCCACTCACCTTGTCCACATTGACAGGCCAGAGGAGCAATTTGAGGAAGTTGTATCCAATCACAGGAATCATGCAGAGGACGGTGCTGAGCACAAGACACAGCCACATCTGTGGCTGGTTAAGGATGTTCCTGGCCACACCTGCAAACAGTGAACCCGGAAAGGAGAGGGTGAAGATAGAGTTAGGGGTGGGGAGAAATCAGCCAGAGCACTGCTCCATCTCCAGGCCCAAGAAGGAAGGTACTGATTTCCAGACAGTCTAGGCCCTTAAGAAGTAGTATACATGCGAACAAAGTCATATGTTTTCCCTTTGCACAGCTACTGGGGCAGTAGCTTCCCCTTCCTGGGAAACAGTTGCTTTGGGGGCTGATGCAATTCACATACCTTTGTCTCCCTCTAAAGGCAGGGCTGGACAGAGCAGGAGGAAGGGCGGGCTGTAAGGGCATCCTAGTGCATTCATGCAAAAATGAGTGGAAGGCACTGGAGCCAGCAAGAGAGTTGAGAGGTTAGCATGCCTCCAAGCCTGACGACCTGAGTTCCATCCCTGGGCCCCACTTAATAGAAGGTGAGAACCAACTCCTTCAAGTTGTTATTTCTGTCTCTCACATGCCCAATAAATACATAATGAATGTGATAAAATTTTAAAAAAGAATCGAAAGCTTTGGAGAAGAAAAATGAGTCAGTGGTCTGCCAAGAGGCAGACAGCAAGTACACATGTACAGTCTTTGCACGTGATAAGAGAGCAGAGCAATGTAAGACAGTGAGGCTGTTTGCACTGGAGTTTCAAGTCATTCAATTGAAAATGAACACACACACACACACACACACACACACACACACAACAAAGGCTAGAGAGATGGCTCAGTGGTTAGGAGCACTGGCTGCTCTTCCAGAGGACCTGGGTTCAATTCCCAGCACTCACATGGCAGCTCATGCCTGTCTGTAACTCCAGTTCCAAGGATCTGACAACCTCGCACAGACACACATGCAGGCAAAACACACACCAATGCACATAAAATAAAAATTATAAATCATAAACAAACAAAAAACCTCAAAATTCTGCTAATAATTCTTGCCCTGTTGTTTCAAGAGAGACTTGTGAAGATCAAATAATCTAAGATATTTGAAAACAAAATTGGAAATTCTAAAGTGAACTATTCTCCTAGGAAGGCTTTGCATCCTTTGGAGCAGAGACTCTATCTATTAATACTCTAGCTAAGCACCAAGTATGTAACGCATAGTTTCTCAGTAAACATTAGATTAGCGTTTTATTAGGCCTCCCCCATGCCAAACACCTGCTGGTCAGGGTCTTACCTAGGAACTGGAAGGTGCTGGGGAACATTAGATATAAGCCATCACTACACAGGAAGAGTAAGATGCAAAAGTAGAAACCCAGGCTACCCCAGATGAAGGCATGGCTTATCAGCGTCCAGAAGTTTGTCCTCAGGGCGATCTGAAAAGCACCGGCTCATGGGCAATGCTGTACAACTTGTCGGCCACTTGCACTGGCTAAGCCTGTAATGGAAGTCGCTCCCTGCCCTCTTTCCCTTCCCACCCGGCCCCTTGCCCCCACTCCCAGGGGCCACACCTGCATTGTCATCACCCAGATCAAGGTGGACTGCACGATCAGGGAGAATGACTGGAAGTCGGAGATGTCCTTTCCGTCACTGCGCTCTGAGTTGAAGATGGTGCCCATGGGGACAAAGAACAACACGAAGGAACTGTAGATGCCATGCACTAAACACTTCAGAAACTCCTTCTTGTTGAAATACAGGTTGTGCTGTCCTGGCTCATACAGCTCTGGGTAACACAGACTCCATGTTTCATTCACATCCTGGTAACATCAGAGGGGAAGGAGACCGTCAGGAACTTTCCATCTCCTCAGAGCAGGGGTGTCTTGCCTCCCTCAGTCTGCAGCCAAGCTGCCAAGGCATTTCCTCAGGGAGTGCTTGGGAAGCAGAACCAGAGAACAGGCAGTGACCACAGTCCTCTCTAGGTAAGGACCTGTAGTAGAAGAAAACTCAGAGACAGGAAGTTGGGAAGCACTTGGAGGCACTTAGGACAAAGTGACAAAGGGGGCAGTTTGGCTCAGGGGCAGCTAAAAGGGAGGGCTGGAGTGTGGGAGAGGGGTGGAACTAGGGTATAGGTCTCCAGGTAGAAGTGTTCCTTTTGTTAAGTTTTTATGTCAAGTCAGTGGGCAGAGGCAGGAAAATCACTTAGAATTAGCAAGTCCTTTGGAAGCTGCTCTTCATCTATTGAGACTCTACTGCCCAGAATGAAGGTTGGAGTAGAAGCTTCAGGGAGAAGAGGGTTCAGACCCTTCCTACAGAGGGACTCTCTAAGAGGAACAGAGCCAGCCCTGGCTGGTTCCCTGTGACATAAGGTATCGTGCCCAAAGCCCCACGGCTGGCCTTTAGAACTCTCACTGGGGCCTTCCTGCAGCAGGTGGTCTCATCCTAGTACCTCTGAATAGGCTTCTCCTTTCTCATTTCTTTGCTCTACCAAGTCTTGGCTTAATGGTTCTGTTCCTCTCATTAAATTTTGGAGGATTCCTTCCTCACCCTATGCCTGTCAGGGGATCAGCTCCTTTCCCTGCTCTAGAAATTATTCTCTTCACATTTGACCTTGGAGAGCTCACTCTCGTTTCCCTCCTCATCTGAGTCCAGGGTTTCAGCCCTGTCTAAGAGCCCTGCTCCCGGGTATTACCTTTTCAAAGAGACTCAAGCCGAGGACAGGGAGGGAAGTGTAAATCAGATTGTAGCAGGTGATGAACCAAGTATCGTAAACTGTCTGGAAGAGAACCAAGGAGATTGTTTTTAGATTACTTTCTTCATAAAGCCCAGCTCTACCTCCCAGGTCCAATGCAACCCTCTCCTGGTCCCCTGCCCAGCATGACTGAAATCTAGGTAGAGTCCCAGTCTTTCTTTGATCTTACTCTAGAGCCCACATCTTAGACTGAGGCAAGGCCATGCTGAGCTTCCAAGGTTGACCTGTACTGTCCCTCTGGGTACAGAGAGGACACAGCTAGGCTTCCAGGGAAAGCTAGCCATGGTCCTGAACCTCTAGACCAGTGAAGCTTGAGGTTCCTTTCTTTATCTGCCTGGTGGCTTGCATTGGCTTCTGTGGCCCTGAACATTTACTAACAGGGCAATCACGCTTCTCCAGTTGAGTGTTCCATCTGGAACCTAGGGAGGGCTGCTTTCCTCACTGTCCACGGGAGGTCAGACCACCCCCGCAGACCAAATTGGCCTGACTAGGATTGGGGTGAACCAGTCTACCCCGTCTGCTGACTGGTGTAGACATCTCCTGAGATAACCAGTCCTCGCGTTGTTTTTCTTGGGATTCCTCAAGAGACTCCTGAAAGACTTCTCATAGGACAAAGGGCTCTTCTTATAACATCACAACCTACATTTCCATGCAAGGTTGTGGTTTCATATTCACATGTGACATTAATTTACCAGAGGAACAATTTTGTGTATGTAGGGATTCCTGGGCAGCTGTAGTTCTAAGTACAAGAGACCCAAGAAACTCCTGGAGCTTCTGTCATGACCCAAGAAGCTCCTGGAGGCTTGCCCAGTATTTAGTCTAAGCTGCATGGATGATATATTTGGACTGTTGTCATTATTCATCTACAGACTTGAAATATAACCACTGCACAGTACCTTGGAAGGATGTAGAATGTAACTATTATACTTTATGATTCTGATGATTTAAAAATAAAGATGGCTCTTCCATATTATAATCACAAAATTAAAACCAGTATTTAAAAGTGGAGAAGTCCAGTTCCCAAGGATCTGAAACCCTCTTCTGGCCTTTGAGGACACCAGGCATACGTACACATACATACATGTAGGCAACACATTCAAACATATAAAATAAAAAAATCTAAAAATAGTAAAAGTAGAGAATTGTTAAGATATTATGGACAACAAAAACAAAAATATGACTTTGGATGCTAAGAGAAATCCAGATCCTCCAATTTTTCTTTTTTTTCTTTTTCTTTTTTTTTTATGTTGAGATGTCTAGTTCAGTGTAGCTCCTGGGAGAGTTCTGAAGGTAACAGTCATGATGTGGAAATGTAAGGCTAATGTAGGTTTGGACAGCAGGATTAATACAGGGTGAGGAGAGGGATACAAATATACTACACATATACTACACACACTGAGAAGGAAAACGGTGCCTTCTCTTACCTGTGCGGAGAAGCCATTGAAGAAGGCATACCAGAAGTGCACCAGTGTGAAGGCAAAGTTTTTGTAAAAGAAGTAGCTGAGAAACTTGCACATGCGATTGTACGACCAGCGGCCATGGACCAAGAGGAGGCGCTGAAGGTAGCGGAACTGGCAGAAGGAAAAGTCACTGTTGAGCATGGCCTGCATCCCTTCATGGCCGCTGATGCCAACCCCAATATTGGCAGCTGCAATGAAACCCCAGAGATTCCTAAGACAGGAAGACTGTTTGCTGGGATCTTACCCTGGGAAGTGAAAAGGGAGCGTGGAGATACAAGACTTTTATTTTACATTTGGGACGACTGTTAGACCCAGTTAAAAATGGCACCTTCACAGTAGAGTCTTTTTTGACTGATCGCCCTTTCCCCACATGCTGGGAAGCCCCTTCTCTGCACTCTGTTTTGGGTGCCGTCATTTAAGATTGCTTGGTGGAGCCAGCACTAGAAGGTTGTCCTCTGCCCGTGCCAGCCACCTGAATTCTTTCTTACTAATCAGATAGTTGTGATTTAAATCCCTTGTTATCCACAGAAGCTACTTAAATGAATTAAGAATACAGGGTGAATGCCAATCTAATACAATATTTAATCACCCACATTTATCCAAGGAGCAAAATCCCAGCTATTCAGAGGGATAGGCAATGTATATACTTTGTTAGTGAGAAATAAACTCTCTGGGGGGACTTAAAGTGAATTTTGCTAGAAAAGCAAGATTGTATTTGATAGACCATAAGACACCAAATTTTCTAAAAGTTTTAATTACTCTCACAATTCACTGTTCTGGTCTTTTTCACTGATTTTCTCATGCACATAGCTACATTATTGCTCAATAGGGTTAACTGAAATGTCTTTTTTCTCATTCATTCATTCATCCTCGAGACAGGGTTTCTCTGTGTAGTCCTGGTTGCACTGGAACTCGCTCTGCAGACCAGGCTGGTCCCCAACTCAGAGATCCACCTGCCTCTGCCTCCTGAGTGCTGGTTAAAGGTATGTGCCACTATGCTTAGCCAGGACAACTGAAGTTTCTGAGTCTCAATGCTGAAGCAAGAACACTTTCTAGAACTGAAGTTGAGGCTAGACTACCTGGTGGTGCTTCCTGTATGAGATTTTGTTTATACCTCACAGATCAACACGTTTCTGAACACATACGTGGAATTCAAACCGGAAAATTTCAGCTCTTTGCTTCTACTGGTATGAAGTTCAGTAAATCACCTACTCCCCTCCAGCCAGGGGAGCCCCCGCAGGTTCTAGGGAGCACAACCTTGAGCCCGCAGACTTCAACAGAAAGAAAGAGCCTGACTCCTGCACAGGGGATCTTTCTGTGGAGCTGATGCCATCTCAGATGGATGGCACAGTAGCTACACAGCCTGCTGTGATGCAAGGGTAGGGATGCATGTGTTCCTGTGGGGTTACCGTCACTGCATCAGCGAGCGAGTCTGACCCAGTGCATGCCTGTGGACGTGGACTCAGTTAGAGCACCAGTGCACGGGGTGTGAGTGGGGTTGCACACATCAGTCACACACTTTATACGTCAGGTGGGAGCTGGAGTCAGTGAATTGACAGCAAAAAACCATTTAGAGCAGTTTTGCCCATGGAGGAAGGGAGGGATAGGCCACGGGTGGGGACTACTGCCCACCTCCCCTCACATGCCTTTGATCATGCCGATGTCATTGGCCCCATCCCCGATGGCCAGTGTCACCACCTTCTTGTATCTCTTCACCAGGTCTACCACTTGGGCCTTCTGCAGGGGTGTCATCCGGCAGCAGACTACCCCCTTGCACATGCATGCCGTCCGCAGCAGCTCCAACTCCATGTTCCCTTCTAGAGCATAGGCCTGTAGCGCCAAGACACACTTACTCAAGGTGTTACCCCACAGTCTCTCAGGCGGACCTTCCCTTTGTCCTCTCCTTCCTAGGGCAAGCCTAGCTCCTCAGAAGGTGTGCTACCCCTGACAGGGCCTACTTCTTGAGTTCATTCTAGATGTGAGTTATTCCCTCACATCTGGTTTGGCCTCCAGTGGGAAACCATTTATGGCCTCTCATTGGGTCATTAGGCCAAGTGAATTTGAAGAGTCCTGTTCTGCTTGTTTTCCCCTTTACCCCAAGCAGCAAGCCATGTTAGTAGGAAAAACTTGAATAAAGAATAAAGAAGACTTTTCTTCTTCTCTTTGGCTTCACTTTCTTAGTATACGCTTATCTAGAGTAGCCTGGGGAAAGATGTCTTTCAGGGACTGATACCCCAGGGAGGGCAATAGAGAAGGTTTAGTTTCCTGGAGTTGGGTGGACCTGGGGTAGAGGACTCAGAATAAAGGAGCAGAGAGGTAGTTCTGTGTTGCCCACCAGACTGCAGCCATTGATGACCAAGCCAAAGCTGCCGTTGGGCATCTCGTCGAGCATTCTGAAAGGTATTTTGGTTTTCCTGGCAAGACAAATGTTTATAGGATCTGACTCCAGGAGAGACTCAGGTTTCATCTTGTTCCTTGCAGCCCTGGAAACCAAAAAACTGTGGTCAGAGTCTCATCTGAAGCCATACAGCGTAGGAAGAAAAAGTGTCCAAGGTAAAGTGGACAAGGCAGGTCCCAGGCCTCTGCAGAGCAGCAGACAGTCTTACACTCACCTTCTCCGAGGCCTTTGCTGCAGCCTTTCCACTTCCCCACCCACACTCTAGGTCCTGTAGGCCAAATACTTCTTTATAAAAGTATTTCAGCTATTTGGGCGTTTGTTTGTTTCCCTTTCCTCATTTCTTCTCTGCGCCTTCTGTGGAGGGGGCCACATCTGGGGGCAGGACTCAGGCTGCCTTCCCACGTGTACCTGAGTTCTTGCAGAACTGTTTCCCTGTCTGTGCCTTCCACCACGAACACCCCATCCATTTCATCCTTGAATATCCTACAGGAGTAGGCGATGTTCACAGCAGTCTCTGTGGAAAAGGGAACATGGTTTCATTTTGACTGGTCCTTACAGAGTCTTTAGGGCAAGCTACTTGGACAGGGGTAGCAGGCTCAGAGCCCATCCGTCCATGTTTGCTCTGGATCCATTAAAATAAAATTTGTTTTTCATGAGCCAGGGGAGATTGTAGCCTAACAGTAATAGGTGAGTTTCTACTTGGCATTGCCTTTGGGCTTGTTTATGAGTAGCTAGGATCATCCAGACTTAGTCTTCTCTAAAAGGCCTTTCCTTATTGGTGAGTGTGTATGTGTGTGCCTCAGCACACATGTGGAGGTTGGAGGACAACTTGGAGGAGTCATATGGGTTCCAGGGATTGATGTCAGGAAGTCATAGTCCTAGTGGCAAGCTCCTTCCCACTCTGGGTCATCTTGCTTGCCTGTGGATGTGTTTTGTTGAAAGTATTGTTCCAATTTCTATGCTAAATATTATGAGGATAGAGACATGCTCAACTTGCATCATTTCTTTTATATTAAGAAACCTCAGATTTGGAATAAATTAATACTTAAGAAAAAATAAAAATAAAATTAATGCCCAAGTGCAATGAGAATGCACATGAAAGATGCATTTTTTTCCAGAAATTTCTTACTGGAAATTCTTGAAGGATTCATAGGACTGTGTAGGAGAAGCAAAGCTACCTTAAGTAGGACAACAACCCAAACCCAGGAGTAAGAACTGAGCTTAGGGGACACATGAAAATAAAGGTCACAACAGGGGAGATAAAGACATGTGAGTAGCAACAGACCACCTAGGTCCTGGAAGGCCAAAGGGATGCTTGCATCATGAAGTCACTGCAGGTCCCTGGGCAGAGGCGTAATATGAAGTTAGTTTATGTGAAGACAGTTAAGTTGATGGTTACATGTAGACGACGCTGAAGTTAGTAAGGACAAGAGGCAGAGAGAGCGGACAGACGGTAGGGAAGGAGGGTGGCAGCAGTCGGGGTTTTCAGAGGGAAGCTGGGAGGTGGTAAGAAAACAGATCTCGGGACAACAGAAAGGGCTGTTAAAGACAGCACTATAAAGTGCTTAAGCTGTCCATTCCTTCCTGATGGGTCATGTCACCAGTGACCTCCAATCCAAAGTAAACGACAAATCACATACAAACGTGGACAGGAAGCCAGGTAACCGGCAAGCTTTCGTCAAACGAAGAAGGGAAACATGGTTGACCGGGCAGAAAGGGGCTTGTCCAGGCCAGTCGTCTCCTTTACCTTGTTTATCTCCAGTTAGAACCCACACCTTAATTTTGGCTTTGGTCAGGGTGCAGATAGTCTCAGGTACTCCGCTTTGAAGCTTGTCCTCTATGGCTGTGGCCCCTAGTAACTTCAGATAGGAGACACTGGTGAGTGAGGTCCAGGATGAGAGAGCTAAGTGCAGCCTGAAGACTGCCTGTGCTGGGAGGGTCCCAGAGGGAAAAGGCAGCACGCCACGCCTCTGCCACACACAGCTGTTGTCTCTCTGTGCAGCCCTGGCTGTCTTAGAACTCACTCTGTAGACCAGGCTGGCTGCAGACTCACAGAGGTCCGCCTGCCTCTGCCCGGGATTAAAGGTGTGCCACCACACCTGGAACATGCAGGGTTTTTTATATTTTATTTTATTTTTATTCATTTTACATACCAACCACAGTTACCCCTCCCCCTCCTCAGAAAGGATAAGGCCTCTTAACATGCAGTTTTTTATTTTTTTTATGCAGTTTTTTTTTTAACCACACACTGAAATCAAATTTAGAGACATAGCATTAGAAACTGGAGACAGAAGAACCTGTCCAAGTCCTATGTGAAGCTATGCGCTCACAACAAGCCTTCACTTCTCGTATCAGAGCGGGTTTGACTCCCCTGAGAGCACCCGAGGCTTTCAAGACTTCCCACCTCACTGGGTCAGGAGAATCTTGTTCTAACACTAAGCCTTCTGTTTATAGTATCCTAAGGTGCTGACATGGGGCGTGAGCCCTACAACCAAACTGAGGAGCAGGGAGACGGGTAAACTAAGGCAGGGGGAAGGGAAGCTGAGGTCTCTACTGTTTGCTTTTTTTGTTTGTTTTGGCTGTTAGAATTTTTTTTTTTAGATTTATTTATTTATTATGTATACAACATTCTGACTCCACGTATGCCTGCACGCCAGAGGGGGGCGCCAGATCTCATTACAGATGGTTGTGAGCAACCATGTGGTTGCTGGGAATTGAACTCAGGACCTTGGGAAGAGCAGCCAGTGCTCTTAACCACTGAGCCATCTCTCCAGCTGTTTTGGCTGTTAGTAATTTCTCTTTTTCTAGTAGAGCCAGCCTGGTCAGTCTGGTAAGAAGCAAACACACACCTTTCAGGGTCCTCTTAACGTCTCTTTTTCTTACGCCTACAATCCAACCCATGTCCAAACCCTATTGGCAAAGTGCGTGCAGCCCTGTGGTGACCACCTTCTCAGCAGCTGCTCTGCAGAGTGGTGGCTTGAGAGGCTGTCACATGACTTCTCTGCTCCAACCCTCCTGTGGCTTCCTTCTGTATCAGGTGTCACCCTGGCCAGGGAGGACTCTCACCTTCTGCCCCCTCACTCATCCCATTTCAGTTGATCTCCTCCTTAACAAGTCAAGCCTGTCCTTGCTGGGGTCTTTCCTATTGCCTGCACAGTGTGTGACAAGCTGGTCTGCATAGCGAGAGAGTGCTTCTCTCTCTGACATCATTTCATTTTTCCTGTAATATTTTCACCACTAACATACTATAT